TTCATCAGAGCTGGCAGGCCTGCAGTAGGCCTCATGGATAACAAACCTCCACCGCTGGACTCCTGGGTGTGAACTTGACAAAAGATCCGGTCCAGCTAGTTAAATCCTGTAGGGACACTTTCTGTTGGTGAAATGCAAATCTGTGTCATTTGTTCATTCTTGTAAAAAATAGAAGAAAAAAAAAGAAAAAAAAAGGCTTATTTGTTTACAGAACTTAATGTGCCAAACACTTATATGTACTTAATCTGGAGATTAGTCGACGATAGACTTTATTGTTTTAATATTTAGGATGACTTCTGTAAGCCTGGAACATACAGTGATAACATGTGATGTATGAATAGCCCAAATATGCAAACTGTGGGGAATCATGATTCCAAAGATTATATAACATGTACAAAGTGAATTTGACAGTTTATTAACAGCTTATGAATTGTTTAAGTTGTGTAGAAAGACGTACGTGGATCTTTTTTTTAATGTCCACTTCTATAATTATGGTCCATTTCCAATCTGAAAAAGTCTCAAACCATTTTTTTTGTCTCTGATAAGTTAAGTGTACAGGCTGTTATCAGCCTAATCACATCCAAATCATTTGGAAATTAGTGTGATTTTGATATATCAGGGTAGAAACAATAAAGGTTCATTGCATTTGTTTATACAGAAAGGTAAACAAGGACTGTACATGTGTAACAAAGGACTGTTAATATTCAAAATAAAGGCATTTATATTGTAATGTTTATTGTAATACCCATGTTATTAATTAAGAGCTATTTATGTGTCTTAGCTAATGCCTATAAATGATACAGCTCTGCTTTGCAGTGGTCCTTTTTGCATTGCAATGTTAAATGAAACTGACAATAAATGCTGTGCATAGTTTCTCATTTATGTTTGTGTTACTTCTTAAGCAGTTCAGGTCAGAAGTTTACATGCACTCAGAACGGATTTCAATGCTAGTTTCACCTTAGGCTTTAATCTTATATTTGAATTGTTTATTTTCCAGGCAGAAATAGTCACTTGCAACTTCAGTTGATTTTAACAATGAGAATTTAACTCATAAATGTACATTTATTGTGGATGGAACCATTAAGACCACTTTATCATTGTCTGGAAGACAACGACAAAAGCTCAAGCCTACCTCTAACTGGAAGATAACAGTGAATATTCACATGGAATAAAGAGTGCCTTAGTGAAAAAAAGTACTTTAGTATAATTCAAATATACTTACATTTGAGTAAGTATATTTTAAGTATACTAAGTATTAAGTGTACTACCAATAAATGAAGTATACTAAAACTGTGCTTGTACCAATTTTGACATTATAACTTTAAACATATAATTGTACCAACATACACTTTTAAGAAATATATTAAATAAAAGTATACTTTAAGTGAAGAAAATATGTATTTGCCCAAGTGCAAATATACACTTGCTCAAGTGTACATTCAAAATATATTTTAAATATGTTTAAAATATCTTTTAAAGATATTTTGTGTATAGTTTAAAATATATGATCAAAATAGAATAAAAAAAACCTCAATGTTTATTTTAAATTATTAATTTCAGCATGTTTTAAATTACATCTCAGTGTATACTTTAGGCTTATAAAGTATGCCTTTTTAGGTACCTTAATAATCTTTTACTATTTTTGTTAAAATGACAAAGAATAATAATAAAAAAGTCCTAATAGTGGAACTTGATTTAATGTTGTTTAACAAATAATGTATTCATGCCTCAACATATCAAACATTGACAGTTTAGTGACAGAGGTTCTACAACAAAAACAATATTCAATATTCAAAAACAATATTCAATATCCATTAAATGTAGCAGGTATCTTCAGTTTTACATCTCTCCGAATACGATCTGTTGTTTTCAGTTTTTTAACTAAAACACGGAAGCTGTCTTTACCCAAGAGTCCCTCCCGGATGACCGACCTTCTCACCTTATCTAAGAGATATGCCTTATCTCTAAGGCAGAGCCCAGACACCCTACGCAGAAAACCCATTTCGGCCACTTGTATCTGCGACCTCGTTCTTTCGGTCATGACCCAAAGCTCATGACCATAGATGAGGGTGGGAACGTAGATCGACCGGTAAATCGAGAGCTTCGCTTTTTGACTCAGCTCTCTCTTCACCACAACGGATCGGTACAGCGCCCATTTCGCAGCAGACGCTGCCCCAATCCGCCTGTCGATCTCCCGCTCCGTTCTTCCCTCATTGGTGACCAAGATCCCCAGATACTTAAACTCCTCCACTTGGGGCAGGGGACCCCCCAAGGGTCAGAAGGCACTCTGCCCTTTTCCGGCTCATTACTATGGCCTCGGATTTGGAGGCACTGATCCTCATACCGGCCGCTTCACACTAGGCTTCAAAACACTCCAGGGAGAGCTGCAGATCTTGACCTGATGAAGCCAACAGGACCACATCATCTGCAAAAATCAGAGATGTGATCCTAGAAATTCTGTCCATGAATCAATGACAAAGGGCAGCCTTGGCGGAGTCCAACTCTCACCGAAAACAAGCCCGACTTACTGCCGGCAATGCGGACCAGACTCTGACACCGGTTATACAGGGACCTGACAGCCCGTATCAAAGGGCCCGGTACCCCATACTCCCGGAGAACCCCCCACAAAGCCCCTCTGGGGACACGGTCGAACGCCTTCTCCAAGTCCACAAAACACATGTAGACCGGTTGGGCGAACTCCCATGCACCCTCCAGGACCCTGTGGAGGGCGTAGAGCTGGTCCAGTGTTCCACGACCAGGACAAAAACCACACAGCTCTTCCTGAATCTGAGGTTCAACTATCCGAAGGACCCTCCTCTCCAGGACCCCTGAATAGACCTTACCAGGGAGGCTTAAGAGTGTGAGCCCTCTGTAATTGGAGCGTACCAGGGAGGCTTAAGAGTGTGACCCCTCTGTAATTGGAGCACACCCTCCGGTCCCCTTTTTGAACAGGGGACCACAATCCAAGTCTGCCGTCGGGGGGAACTGCCCCCGATGTCCATGCAATATTGCAGAGTTGCGTCAGCCAACACAACCCTACAACATTCAGAGCCTTAAGAAACTCCGGCCAAATCTCATCCACCTCGGGGCCCTGCCACTGAGGAGCTTCTTAACCTCCTCGGCGACCTCATCCCAAGAGATTGGAAAGCCCAACCCAGAGTCCCCAGGCTCAGCTTCCACAACAGAAGGCATCTTGGTGGGATTGAGGAGGTCTTCGAAGTATTTTGCCCACCAGCCCACAACGTCCCGAGTTGAGGTCAGCAGCACACCATCTCCCCTATAACAGTGTTGGTGCTGCACTGTTACCCCCTCCTGAGACATCGGATGTTGGACCAGAATCGCCTCAAAGCCGTATGGAAGTCTTTCTCCATGGCCTCTCAGGCATCCATGGCCTCTTCAAACTCCTCCCATGCCCGAGTTTTTGAATCAGCAACTACACGAGCCTCATGCTGCTTTGACCACCGGCACCCATCAGATGCTTCTGAAGTCCCACAGGCCAAAAAGGCCCATTAGGACTCCTTCTTCAGCCTGACGGCATCCCTCACTGAAGGTGTCCACCAACGGGTTCAAGGGTTGCTGCCATGACAGGCACTAACAGCCTTGTGTCCACAGCTTCGATGAGCCGCCTCAACAATGAAGGCAAGGGACATAGTCCACTCAGACTCAATGTCCCCTCCCCCAGAACGTGTTCCAAGTTCTGCTGGACGTGGGAGTTAAAGCTCTGTCTCACAGGAGACTACAGATAATAGGTACACCCTTTCATCAAATTGGACAGGTGCGCGTGGCTTCCGGTGGGGGAGGGGCACAGTGGGCGGTCCGGAAGCGGGGGAGGGGGATTAGTGGGGGGACTGGAAGTGGAGGGAGGGTCTCAGTGGGGCGTCCGTAAGTGGGGGTGGAGCTCAGTGGGGTCCAGAAGGGAGAGTGTCAGGGGAAGTGCACGGGAAGGGGTGAGTGGGGGTGAAAATGTTAATGATTTTAACACCTCTTATCCACAACACTTGGTAGCTTTTGATGTCATGAGATACAGGGGATGTCATTGACTTGTTGTAGTTCTTTATCACTACCCAGTCCTGTTCTTAGTGAGTCTGAAAGACACCCCCTACTGTTCTTTAGTGGTCCAGACTACATGTCTCCTTAGCTCTGATGGCTGTGTGTGTGAGTGTGTGCGAGTGGAGAGTGTGTGTGCACATTTGACTCCTTGTTAGGGAATTAAAGTACAACACAATTAAAGTATGAAAAATAAAACAATAAGTGATAATCGGGATCAAGAATAATATACAGTTTGTCACCTTTCCTAGAGAAGTTTAGATTTAGAATCTTGGGTAACACTTTATTTGAAGGGGGTGAATAAGACTGACATGACACTTTCATAAACATGACATAACACCTGTCATGAACATGAATAAGTTTTCATGAATATTTATGACTGTTGTCAAACTGTCATTCGGTAAATCATGACACTTTTAATACAAAGTTGACATTATTCAAAATGCCTTTGTTATGACAACTTGACATTAACCAAGAAATCATTACTGATATAAATTTGTTATAAAAGTATTACTGATTGCACTTTAAAAATTAGGTAACTTTATGTTATTAAAGGTAAAGTTTAAACAGTAATGATATTTTGGTTAATGTCAAGTTGTCATATAAAGACATTTTGAATAATGTCAACTTTGTATTAAAAGTGCTTATTCATGTTCATGACAGGTGTTATGTCATGTTTATGACAGTGTCATGACAGTCTTATTCACCCCCTTCAAATAAAGTGTTACCAAAACAATTTAATACAAGTGTTTTATAGAGTAAGTTTTTTTTCCAGAAGTTAGACACACATCAGTCACATTTAGAAACTGGCTCTAAGCATCTGCTTGATCCATTTTGAACTGTGAATGAGGAGGATCCCCTTAAACATATCATGTCTTGCCTTTATTGCTTGCTCTGTTCACAAGGAAAACATTTAACATCTAATAATTACATTACCATTATTATTATTTTTTTACATTTGAACTCAGGATGATACACCAAGCAGATCATCAGCCAAAGAATTTTATGTTTAATCTCACCTTTTTTTTTTTAACCTTTTCTCATTCTCTAACACCCCCCCATCTCAGCCTCTTTACTGTGTGTTTATGAATCACCCCTTTGTGAGATTTCCTGTTTACTCTTACCATCGCAGCATAAAGGGACACTCTACCCAAAACATTTGCAGTGGAAATTTTATTCTTGAGGTTGCTTCTTTGATTGCATTGCAAGACCAGTTAATGTTCTTCTTCCAGTTTAGTTGTGTTTTATTGCCCTCTCATCATCATTTTTGAGTAAATTAGTTTTTTCCCGTTATGTTAAGTATGTTGCGATAAAAAAAAACCCCAACAAAAAACATAATAAAATCACAGTGAGAACGTGATACCACGGTTATGAATAGTTCCCCATTTATTTCCATGAAACCATCTCATTTGGAATAAACACCAAACACCCTCAGCGATACTACTGCTGCTTTTCTAGTTCTGCTTTTTTGGACCCAAATCCTGGTGCTGAAGAAAAAAGTCCCATCTCCAAAATCTGCTCTTTCTTTTCCCATTCACAAGGCATTAATTATGCTGAAAAGGTTTATGTATTTAATAACCAGGAGAATGTTTGGGGAAGTCATGGTAAGGATTTCAAGTTTATAACTCAGTGCCAAACATAAAGCATGGTAACAGTAGCATTATGCTGCTGTGGTTCCATCTTGCTTAGATGTACATGTTCAAGCCTAAAGGCTTAAATCAACGCATTTGGGTTCAAGTTTTTATTAGCAGCAGGATAAATTAGAATTTATGGGGATCTAAATGTGCTTGCAAATGTGGTTGTAGATTTCTTCCAAAATGCACTGTGGAGGAAAATACAGAGAAACAACAAAACTCTACAAGCTTTACAAGTTTGTTTATAAGAGACTGTGTCATGGTTTGTAGACCAAATTAAATTCTTAATTAAATCCAAGCAGAGGATTTGCAGTTTTAGGGTGGCTTGTAGTTTGAATTGAAAGTCAGCTCAGTGATTCTAATCAAAAGTCCCTGTAAGTTGGGGTTAGAATCAAATGAGTGTATGGATGGTCATAAGTCCCTGGTGTGGTGAGAAAGAGGAGGGCAGAGCAGGGCCTTAGCGACATCTCCAAACATGTCAGCAGAGCAGCCCTGCCCTGCCCTCACGACCAAACTTCAAGATAAACCGGTGCACAGCTGTTTTCAGCAACCTGCTGTACTTTAATGAAGGAAAGTCTCCAAGAGATCCACATTTTCTCATCAAATGCTTGTCTGTCTTTGGATTTAAACTTTTCAGCTGCTCAAGAATGACCACTTTGGTTTTCTCAAACCTTGGGTTCCTAAATATTGTGATTGCAGCGTTAACTGGCTTGAGCCGCAGCAGTCCAATCAAGTCTGCAGAGACTTACCACAGGACATCCGTCGGCATGGATGTGATCAACAGTCCTCTCCACAGTGCACAGGACTTTTTGAGCCAGTTTCTGGCAACACTGAACCTCACCAGGCTAAGGTCCCAGCCTAGGACTCCTACAGCCCAGAAAGAGCCACTTCCAGAGTACATGCTGGAGCTCTACAATCGATTTGCCAATGACCGCACTGCAATGCCGTCTGCCGACATTGTGCGCAGTTTCAAGAATGAAGGTACAAACTTCTTTGAACAAATTGATCTAAATGTATTTAGATAAATTAGATAAAATAAGATCATGTTTGAGGTTGTGTCTTGGATATGATGGAACAGTCTGAGTTACCGAAATCAAAGAAAGATGCTCTAAGTATTGCATGTAGCGTGTCCAACAAAACCATCTTTTTGTGAAAATTCAACAAATTAATGCTAGCTTACTTGGTAAGCCCATACAGACAACATTGAGATACTTCTTGTGGTATTTTGATTTCAGATTCTTCCCCCCGAAGTATAAGAGCCACTGGTGTATGGATACATCCCCTCCTATTCAATATCTCCATGCCACACTATGAGCAAATTACAATGGCTGAGCTTCGACTCTTCATGCTTGTGCGGAAGGCCCAAAGACCACATGCCGGCTTCAGATGCAAGGTGACAATCTACAAGGTACATGATGGTGTTGTTTGGACAAAAGAGGTGGGGAAAGAAGGGAGAGAGAGGGATAAAGAGGAGGTGGAGGCAATGAAGGATTTGGAGGAACTGGTGACAAAGCATATCCATGCCAAAGATAATAGCTGGGTGTCATTTGACCTCACTCATGTGGTGACACTTTGGCAGAAGTCAGGGGGCACAACTCATAGGCTGGAGGTTCACATTGAGAACCTGGGGGCAGACGAGGAAAGGGCCACGAGAGAAGCAACAGGAAGTGGCAAAAGTGTGTCACAGGTTGATATTGACAGGAGAGTGGAGGGGCAACACAATCCAGTGATAATTGTGTTCTCAGATGACCAGAGCAGAGATCACAAAGAAGACAGACGAGAGCTGAGTCAGATGATTAAGCATGAGAATGACCTTCCTGATAACGTGATAACGAGCCAGAAATCTTTTCATGACCCTGCAAATCCCAACGCTGACCACCCGGAACAGGATGAGCTGGACGACCAGTCTGCCCTGGAGGTGCGGTCCAATCTTATCTACGACACGCCTCCTCGAATCCGCCGCAGCGCCAACACCGAGTCATGCAGGCGGTCGCCCCTTTACGTGGATTTTAAAGACATCGGCTGGGACTCGTGGATTATCCAGCCTTTGGGGTATGAAGCGTACAAGTGCAACGGCGTGTGCAGCCCACCCATGACCTCAGAGGTTTCTCCCACCAAGCATGCCATAGTGCAGACTCGGCTGAGCCTCAGGCGCCCCGAACGAGCATCTGCTGCCTGCTGCGTTCCCACAAAGCTGGAGCCAATCTCCCTCCTTTATCACGATAACGGAGTGGTTACCTTCAACCACAAGTATGAGGGGATGGTGGTGGCAGAATGCGGCTGCAGATAACGTCACAGAGAAAAACAGACTTTTAGTTGAAGATCTAAATCTATCAATCTACTTTATCATGCTCGTGTGCTTGTTTCCAGAGAATCAGAGATTTCATACAGTGGACTAATTGTAAATCCGGGATGAAAACTTGATGGAAAGTTACAGCTGTATAAAGGCAAACCCCTGAGTGTTTTGTTAATTTAGAACAGAAATACTTTGAACTGATGCAACAAAGTGTTTCATGTTAGCCTACCACAGCTCCATATGCATTTTTGCCTTTCATCGTGTTTTGAAAGCACTTCAGTTTATCGTTATATATTGCAATGGATTGCCATGTTTATACAGTATTAAAATGCCTTTCAGAATATTTCAAAACCATTGTACTTTTTCTCATTTTGTCACATTGTAGCTATGAATTTCAGTGTATGCAGTACATTGGGATTTTTAGCCAAAGGACCTATGATTACTCTAGTTTTAATGTCAGATGGACAGCTATTAATTGTGCATTGCCATTATTACTTTAAAAAGAAAAATCTGTAAATATTTTAGCCAAAATGTGCAAACGTTTTGGAGATATACCCAAAAAGACTATTTACAGTGCCAAAGGGTTCTGTAAAGTATTGACTCAGAATACACATCTGATTCAGTTTTGAAACTTTTTTAAACAAAATTTCTACTTTACAATTGTGTGTTACTTTGCATAGGACTGGAAAATAAAAATCCCAATAAAATTCAATAATTATTCTGGCTCTAGAGTGACAAAATATGAATAAGTTTAACAGGTATGGATCATTTTGTAAGGCACTGCATAATGAATAAAAGTGGGAAACAAGCAGGTTTGGATTTTTGGGTGTTATAATTTCAGATCAGCAATTGTAGGTAAAAAAAGAACGTTTTGTCATTTTTATAGCGAATAAGGTCAAAAGTAGTACAACTCTGATTTCATCTCCTGCAAGAGAGGTGAAATCTGACTTGTAAAAGAGAAGAACTTTTATTGTAATACACACCAGAAAAAGTCAAGCGATGAAAAGAAAATGAAAAACATGAAAAACGCCAGCCTGCCAAGATGCTTAAGAAAATTATGCATTTACTACAAAACTGTAAATTATGAGGTTGTCCAGGGGAATCTTGGAACATCTGAGATAAGTAGACAAATGTAATATTCTTTCTCCGAGATGCTTGCCAAACTTGTAGGAAACATGTTTTTCTTATTTTGGATCACAGAAGGCTTTTCAAAGTGTCGTGGAACCCCGCAGGGCATCTTTTCAAAAACAAAAGAAAAAAGAAAAAGTAATTATTTGGCCTATCCAATGTGACTTTCAGCTTCTATGAAATCTTTCTTTGTAGAAACAATTCACATCCCGGTTTTGTGTCACACACTGGTGTGAATAGCATTGTGCTTACTAAAATAAGATATATGAAAAACAAACATATTCAGTTTCCTGTTTCGTGCACACCATGCCAATGTCAGGTTATCGCATCGCTTCCATCTAACAACCTTAATCCCCATCCTTCCACAGCCACATGCCTGGCGGGCCACTCTCGGTCCGCTTCCATGCCATATTGATAAAGAGGTGTCAGAGCCTGGAGTCTTGTAAGCCATCACTCAGGGTGAGACGCCACTCGAAGTGGCAGTATTTGTGAGAAGGTGGTGTCAGATTCCTGGTCTCCCGGACCAACATGTCCTATTGACAATCATGACATCAGGTTGCTCGCTGGACTCAGAACCCTCCCATTTTCCTTTTCTGACAATGGCATGCTTATACTCTTAACAAAGCCACGGCAACGGTACAAATGGAAAAAGAAATATTCGCTCCACATCATCACCTAGCTTTTGCTGTTAACAGTTGGAAGTAGGTAGCAGGAACAACCCTCAAGTTCTGTCCAGTGTGGAGGATCTTCACTCAGCATATGGATTAATAGCAGCAAAATATGCAGGGCAGAAATCCAGGCAGCGAACAGGCTGATCTGCACCTAACAGCACCGAGTCTACGCTCACCTGTATGAAGCTTTTTAGGTAAAGCTACTCAATTGTCAAACCAAAAATAGTGAATAAGCTAATCAGATGGCAGCCACTCAATGCACAAAGGCATCTGGACGTGGTGAAGTTGAAATTTAGCATCAGAATGGGAAAGAAAAGGGATCAAATTTAAGTTACTTTGAACACAGCATGGTTGTTGGTACTGAAAGTATCAAACTACTGGTCTTCTGTGGTTTTCACTCCCATTTGTGTGATTGGTATGAGAGAGAACAGCCTGAAAAAGAGAAAATAACAAATGAGCTTTAAAAATAAAAAATAAAAACCTCTTTGATGTGAAAGGTTAAAGAAGAACATGGAGACTAGTTTGAGATGATAGAAAGGCAAACATAGAACCCTGAAGCAGATGGGTTACTGCTGCAGGAAGCCACACAGGATGCCACTCCTTTCACCTAAAACAGAGAACTGAGGCTACAATTTACACAAGATCACTAAAGACCAGGTCCAACCCGGTACTACCTAAGTGTACCTAATAAATAAATAGAGTGGATACAACTGAAGAAAAGCATAAACATCTTTGTGGAAATAATAAAGCAATACTTTTTAAAAATATATTTTAGGTTTTCTTACAATAAACTCCTAAATGGGGAGTTTACAATTCCTTATTTAGCTAAGTCTTTGAGCTAGTTTGATGGCTGTATACTTTAAATAAACTCTACCAGTTCAAAGGGGAGTGATTACATATTAAAAAGAAAATGCTGAGATGTTGTTGCCATCTAAAAGCTTGTGGTTTCCCTGGGAGACATTTACTAATATTAAGGGTGTGTGTAGACTGATTCATAACCCTCTGCGAATTAAAAATAGTTGATTATATAAAGAACCAAGTCAGTTCGTTGTGTAACTATTTGTTATTTTATGTCATACAGCATTTTACAAGGGTAGCATTTAACCAAGTTTTAATAGTTGAGAGAGGATTTTAACTTTGGTAACATGGCTCTGCACAGGTTCATAAGGCACTGTCATCTTTTCATACTGTAGAAGAACAATGTTTACATAATGAACCCGTAGTGAAAATTAGTGCTATATAAACATGGAGGACAATAGAAAATGTTCAGAGCGGTATCTCTGAATCCCACATATCCGCACATGCGCAGTATGATCAAAACAATTGAGCAGATTTTCTGACAGTCACAGATCTGTGATTTATTGTGAATTTCATAAAACGTTATTTTGTTCTATAATAGAAATATAATTAACATAAACTCAGCGTGATTACCCTACCTGTGTAGTAGCATTCATAATGTATAGCGAAGGGAGCTGCACCGCAGCGCCACGCCTGTCACGGCTCAGTCAGAGCGTGGTGGGTGGAGGAGAGATTTTGTTTATTTTCGTGGCCAATAAGGCATTCATCTGTATTCGGTTGGCATAAAAATCCTGGTTGAATTTCAGTGAAGTGTTGTAGGTTGATTAGGTGAACGTGTGCGGAGAAGACTAGTTAGTGGTACGTCCGACTTCGTGAGATGCTGGATTTCGGGAACAACAGAAAGAAAGGTTCGTCAGCGTCAAGTTGGTCTGTTAGCAAGCTAGCAACAATAACCAAAACGTAAGATAGCCAGTCAGGTTTTAGGAAGCGAAAGCTTCGTTGACTCCATCTTCTACGAGTGGATCTACGCTGCTTTTCTGAGAATTTCTGTAAGTAAACAGATTCGTTTTCAACTGCTTCCATTTATTGAATATATTGTTTTATTTGTTGGCTAAATAGCAGCCGTCGCTAACAGAGCTACTTAGCTTAGCCATGCTAGGTAACCCCGTATTGTGTTGCTGTGGCTTATTTTGTAAAAGTGTGCGTTTATCCGAACATATAATCATAAATTATACCGGTACAGCAGGATAATTCAAGGCAAACTCGAAGTAAGCTTTATTTTTTCCCCCTTACTTTACGTTATTGGGTGTCTTAGATTAGCCACCTTGGGTAGCACTAGCAAAGTATTCTTAATACTGTTTGTTTAAAATCATAATTGCTGAATTTCTGCTAGTAACTTTAATCATTTCATACATCTGTTAATTTGTCAGCTGGTTCAGGTAAAGTGTTCATTTCTGTGAACCAGTGAGGATCGCCGTATGACTACAGTGGTGGTACGGGGGTTGCCACTTTTAATTTACATAACATTTTACTAAGTTTAGCTTTTGTGTTTAATAATTATTTATTTATACGTTAACAGAGAGCTTGTATTTGCTGTACAGCCCTGGTATGTCCATGTTCTCTGAAAAGAGCTAACTCTTTTATTCCAGGATTATGTACAACGTTTTCCTAATTAAACACATGTGGTAGCTTTTAAGTTATTAGCCTTTAAAAATAATAAATTTAAGCTTAAAATGTTCTGTGCTATAGATTTTATTCAACCATTTTTGACACAATATCTTAAGGTGTTTTTATTTTGTTCCCATTTTAGTCCTTTTCGAACCTTAGATTATCTTTTGTAGGTACTTAGAATAATTTAGGCCTCATAAAGATGTAGCTTGAGGTTCTGAGAAATCAGGACCATATTCCTTTACACTTACATTGAATTAATGTAAACATGTGAATATGTGAGATAATATTAGATGCATGCCATGTAAGAAAAACAACAATATGACTCTATCCTAAAATAATTCCTGTACATATTACATTTAGTGGCTGGAAACTGGAAACTATCATTGTGTTGTACATGCAGTTCTACTCCATTCAGTAAAAAAAAAAAAAAATGGAGATTTACTTTTATATTTAAATGTAGTTAATTGTTTTAAAGATAAGTGTAACTTCTTTGTCACTATTATCTTAATATAAGTAAAAAAAAAAAACATAAAAAAAACATGTAAATTGCTGATGTGTTGAGCATGTTAATTTTTCAAAAAAATATTTTGCTTTAAAATTTTGGTTTGAGGTCATAAAATTTTGCTCTCTTGTTTTTTTTCCTTGTTATAGGTGGCTAAACGTGGGCTGCTTTGGTTAGAGGAATAATTTCTCGTTGTCACAACAACAACAACAGAAACGCATAAAGGACACAGCTGGAAAGCCCACCCAGTCCTGAAAACTACAAAGCAAGATGTCCATCACAAACACTCCTACAAGCAACGACGCTTGCCTGAGCATCGTGCACAGCCTCATGTGCCACCGGCAGGGAGGGGAAAGTGAAAGCTTTGCAAAGCGGGCCATTGAGAGCCTTGTCAAGAAGCTGAAGGAGAAGAAGGATGAGCTGGATTCTCTAATTACTGCCATCACCACAAACGGGGCTCATCCTAGCAAGTGCGTAACCATACAGCGAACTCTGGACGGACGCCTACAGGTAAATTATAGTGCCTCCTTCGCAGGCGTCACTCGATGCTGTTCGTTTACATCATATTTGAAACTCCTCTGTGTTCTGCAGGTTGCAGGGCGTAAAGGTTTCCCCCATGTCGTCTATGCCAGACTGTGGCGATGGCCGGACCTCCACAAGAATGAGTTAAAACACGTGAAGTACTGCCAGTATGCATTTGACCTGAAATGCGACAGCGTCTGTGTCAACCCGTACCACTACGAGAGGGTTGTTTCTCCGGGAATTGGTAAGTTCGGATCACATGTTCATCAATTTTGGTCATGTAGTTGCTATTCAACTTGCCAATAATTTTAGAATGGTGCACTAAGAGATTACAGTGTATTTT